CCAATGATAATAAGAATGTTTGCGTATATTTTATTCGTTGGACAAATACTGTCACTAATCAAGTGAGTGAGTGAGTTGGGTTTTACGCCGCTTTTAGCAATATTCAAGTAATATCACGGCGGGGGACACCAGAAATGGGCTTCACAGATTGTACCCGACTAATCAAGCCTGTGTCACAACAACGATGATGTTATGAAGTCTTATTACCAAACAACCCTACAGACATAACTGGGGAATGCTATACACAAATTGAATGGATGGGTGGGTAGCCTAATGGTTAAAGCGTCCGCTCGTTACGATGAAGATCCGCGTTCGATTCCCCACATGGGTACAATGTATGAAGCCCATTTCTGGTGTCCCCCGCCATGATATTGCTGGAATATTGCTAAAAGCGGCGTAAAACCATACCCACTCACTCACTCACAAATTGAAAAAGTAAAACGGTCAGTCAAAGAATAAGGAGCGTCCAAAATTCAATTTTTATGGATCAAATTTCATGAATCTAAGCAACCATCGCCGATAAATTTGGACTCATTTTCTTCCGGGGTGTCTATAGAACATAATTATCTGTCCCGAAAAAAAACAACACGCAAATTGTTTCTTGATCGGAATCAGTAAAGGAATGGAAATACGACCTACGCAGAAACTGAATCAGTCAAGCCGGATTGACTTTGGTTAATGATAACACCGAGATCTAATTCTCAGAATCGAGATGCGATACAGAACTCCGACAACATCCTCAGATTGTTTACTTTGTCTGATTGTCACAGACTTGATGAAGGGACCGGAAACTCCCGAGCTTGTCTGAGCTCCAGATACTCTGCCACGGTCCCAGTGGTACAAGCATTGCCTCCCGTGTTGACATCAGCCGTGATTCGACTGAGAAACGCGAGCTTCGCTGTACGGAGTTGGAGCTAATTGCTTTCCTCTTGATTGTTTGAAGAACTCTCGGTGCCAGGCGATTGCTGCAGACTGGGTACCGTGCTCACCTCTAGAGGTATATATACTTGATAAATACAATTCGGGACAGTAACAAAATAATTATGTTGACATTAATTCTGTTCCTGAATGGTCAAACTAGAAATGAAGACAAATTTGGTTTGAGTTTTAACAAAAATATTTATTTGAACAATATTATCACTGGTCCCGTGGATTTAATGTCCAACACCTGGGGCTTTGTTAATACTCATTTTACAATCAAATTCGAAAGAAGGTATTAAAGGGGTTAATATTTAGTAATACATCTCTCATTACCGCATTAACATCATAAGTATTTTGACAACGTTGAGATATGGATACAATGCGCCTGGGCCCCGTTTCACAAAGCTCTCGTAACCCTAAGATCTCGTATCTTTTCTCGTAGCATTCGTACCTCCTATACTGTAACATACGAGGTACGAATGCTACGAGAAAGGTTACGAGATCTTAGGCTTACGAGAGCTTTCTGTAAAGGGGCCCAGGGCCCCGTTTCACAAACGATACGACTATCGTAAGTCAATGTTACAGTATAGGAGGTACGAATACTACGACTAAAGTTACGAGATCTTAGGCTTACTAAAGTTTTGTGAAATGGGGCCCCGGAACCCAGCGGAAGATGGTAATTACGCACTCAAAGAACAACAGAGCACTTTTCTTATTTTTTCTGTATTTTTATCCCCAAGAGTATATAATCCCCAATATGTACAAATATATTTACAGAACTACTGGTGTGTCCAATTATGACATTACATGTGTGTCCAAATATGACACTATGAGAGTGTGTCCAAATATGACACTGTTCAATGACGTGTTCAAAATATGAACTCTACAAAGGCGTGTCCAAATACGACACTACACAAAGGAGACACCAAATGTGTGATCTCTAATATGTTCAATAAATTCTTCAATAACTATCAAATTTCACGTTTCTCAAAAGTGTCTACAAATTAGACACAATATTCAAAAGTTACTTCCAAATTCATTCATTTATATCAGAAAGACACAAAAGGAGACAGTCACCAAAGTGTGACTGCTCTCATACAAGTAAAGAACCGAAAAGAAGCAATCACGTGCTAATCTGCACGGGGTGCTGCAGAAAAAAATGTCTATTTCAATGCGCGTTCGCTCGAATGTTTTAGAATGTCCATGAACGGGAGGTGTTTGGGCGAGTCCTTCTGTCCAACGCCCTTGCTCTAATATACCAACAGGAGGTCTGGTATACCATTTCCTTATTAGGCGTTATACAGAATCTCCATATTTACATGTATTGCGGGTTAATTCGTTTAATCAACAAATCTGCACAAAGGACATTAGTATACACGCAGTGTATACAAGTAAATGTACAACATCGTCAGTGGTACATGTGACGCTTGATCCCCATTATAAACACCGTATTCACATATATTAAACACAAAGTTTTGCTATCTGATGATGGCACGATTCAATGCATTTCCTGAAAGTAGAACACATCGTTGAACATATGAAAATAATGACTTCATCTTTATGTACATGCAAGAGTCTCTGGATATTGACTTCAATGCTTACTGGTGGTACGTACATGTTTCTTTAGTTCATAAGTTATCACTTACAATTTGGAAAATGGTATAAATGATAATATCATAAATACACTGATTATAATATCTGTGACAGAATATTTCCGCTATACAATTTACATAGTATATCGTTCGATGTCTTAAGTCGACACGTATATCTCGATTGATGAAATACGCATCACCACAAAAATATAACATGCATCATTTTTTTTATTTATCAACAGCGGTATGTCAGTGCATGGTATACCTTTATGGATATATAAACAACTTAACCAGCTGTAAGAAATAAACCCCAGAAACAATAATAGCTGAGTTAATTTGATGGGCTGTTTTTCATTCGCCCACACAAATAATGTACACGTCACTCAAGAGTAACAAAACAATACATCAGACTATACGACTATACGAGTCGAGCACCGTTGTCTCGATATTCATGGGACCAAGAAAAAATATCGAGTTATCCGAACTTCGAGTCATCCGACCAGGGCATATCATCACATATCACTGTGAAAGAAAACAAAACGCTTCTCAGTATGTTTTGATTGAAACTATAATCCGTTATCAGTAGTGTTAAGTTGTACCAGTGAGTACTTCCTAATTACATCCTTCTTAATTAGCCCTGATTAAATAACAAACAAGTGACACCTTCAACTCAATTAGCCGTAATGAGTTTACACTACCGCACCGTGTGTAAACGTGTGGAAACAACCTCAGTTCAGAGGGATACTTGCACATGAAAGGTGAATATCGATCGAGTTTCTTTGCAAATATCGAGTTAAAATGGTGATTTTGCTTGTTGGTACCGTGAAATGATATCGAGATATCGAGACATCCGTATCGAGTTAAAAGAGCTTAAATAATGATAAATTATGAAGGATTTTGCCGGGACCGAGATGTTATAACGAGACAACCGAGATATCGAGTTATCAGAGTTCGACACAACGGTGCTCGACTGTACAATTGTATCACGCTTCCACGAATAAAAACATATTTTTTCAATCTATAACAAAATAGATGATGTGTGACCTCTTGGACATATGTACAGCAATATAAATCAGAAGTGTAAGTTAAAATTTAACGTAATGGCGTTATTTTCGCCACATAGCGACTGAATGAGAAGAAATGAGGCTATGCTTGTTCATTCTCCAGATGGTTTACGCAAGCGTTCATCTTTGATATTCTGGTCTACAGATTTAATACATGTCAGTATGTTTCAATAAGTACTGGAATAAACTACTACTTTGTAGCGAAAAGGATTATACAGTCGCTCCTTTCAGACAAATAAACTCACGTACAAAAGAAAGTACACACCTGTGGCTTTTGGATTACTTTCCAAAAAGCGACGTAAATGTTTTGAAAAGAGGTTTACAGTGATATATAAGTCACAAACATTCCTAATATGTTGTCAAAACACCACAGATACCGTACCCAAGGCGAAGTTGCCAGTCAAAATCACAACACTTTTCAAATAATCCCAAAACACCAGGTGTGTACTTTCTTTTGTACGTCAGTATATATGAACATTCAGTCTAAAAAAACATGCGCAGCCCCCAAACCCATCCCTATCTCCCCTAACCCCGAATATTTAAGTGGAGGGTCCCTGTAAACGGTGTGTGGGATGAAGGCGGCGTTAACTAAGAACATCGTTGCTTCCAATATCTCCATTTCCCCAACACACGGGTCAATGAATCTGATGACGATATCATTCATGTTACATTTAATAAATAAGAAAATATACACAGGTTATGCTATCGTGTGTGTTAATGTTGTTGGAATTGAATCTGTAAATGGACATATATACCCCGTAAAAAATGCTGTATATCATATATACAAAAAGATTTATTTATTAGAGTTCTGGGGTATAATATCTACATTTCGATAGAATCGGAGTTCTGATATAGCATCACCGGGCTGATAATGACTCTGCCAGGACAACAGATCGTCGTCATAAAGGATGTATCGACATACCAGAGTTCGGGCTAAAGAGGTTTTACAGGTGGAGTAGTAGTGTAACAGTGATTTTACATTGCTCTTGGTTATATTCCATTAACGACCGGGCATAACAATAATTGACTGATATCTTTTGAATTGAAACCAGCTCGTCGGTTGTACAAGCAAACACTTTAACCACTTCACTAAAGATTCGATACAAAATGAGAGAAAGAAAATGTGGACGTATTGTATTGAGTGTAATGTTGCACGTTTGGAATTAAGAAAGTATGGAGAGTCCATTCCCTGATAATCAACACAAGTTGGTCATTGTGTGCGAGTAGGTCTTAACGTCGCTATAAACAGAATTCAAGTTACATCACCGCGTGTCACTGTAAATTGGTTTGTCTGTTGTTTAACGCCGCACTCAGCAATATTCCAGCTATATGGCGGCGGTCTGCAATTAATGCAGTCTGGACCACACAATCCAGTGATCAACAGCATCATCATCGATCTACGCAATTGGAATACGATGACATGTGTCAACCAAATCAGCGAGACTGACCACCCGATCCTGTTAGTCGCCTCTTACGACAAGCAAGGGTTGCTGAAGACCCATTCTAACCCGTTTCCATGACAATGGCCTTTTTAGATGTTACAATTGAGACAGTTGCTAATGATGCAGCCGGGATTCAAACTCACAATGATACGTTTCTGTCGAGACCTAAGGGACGCAACCCTTCCCAGACATTTGCACTATCACAGACAAATGGGTGACCCGAGCCTCGAAAGAGCCTTTGACTTAATTTGAGCATGTAATTTAAATGGAACTTCGACCAGGGTTTCTTTCTTCTCAGTATCTAACATTTCATTCATCCATTCTGTTAACCTTAAAGTGAACTAATTTCATCCACGAAACTATGCATCAAAAGTAGGAACAGCAGTAAGTGTTGTTGACAGGAGTCGATTCCAGCCGGAAGCTGTCGTTCATTTCCGGAACCACCGGAAGTGCGTTTCCGATTCTGTTCTTGATCTGTGTTGCCATAGTGACGAATGCCTGTTGAACGTTTGTAGAATTTCTTGCACTCGTTTCCAGGAACGAAACGCCAAATTTCTCTGCGCATGCCTATTTGAAAGAAAAATAGATAAATTATAGAAAGTACAGACAGTATCACGTGAGTGTCTCAATATAGAACCATGAGCGTATCTGTAGGAGTGCAAAAATACAATACAGGATCCTGTCTCATGTAAAAGCTTTAAAGTTCCACTTTCGGGTGATACCAGCATCGCAGTGATCTTTATACTATGCGTCAAATATACACTTGACGCCAAAATAAACCTTTATGATTTACTGAAAAACTATCAAAGATATTTTAGAAGGTTTTAGTTTACAAAGCTTAACAACACAGCTTTATGCAAATCACGAAAAACAATTCTCAAATGCATTCATATTTGGGTGAAATGCATCTTTTTCAGAAGACTTAATTTGTCCTATATTCGTCCATGCCGAAATGAAACCAATAATAGTGATTTTGATGTCCAAAAGAAAGGAATAAAATTCTGCTTTTCACCATTTTTCAACTATTAAAACAAGAAACAACTGTTGTAGAGTTTGTAAAATTGTAAAATAATCATTGCTATGATTTCTGTCTTTTAAAACATTTTCTGCTGATTTGCATTAGTGAAAACAACCTTGAGTAAAACGTTTCTTTGATATTGTGAAAAATGTTTAGGAACATCTACAATTATCTTTGTAACATTTTTCCTTTTCCATTTTACACATAGCAATATCAGTCGCCAAAACGCAGCAATATTCAAACAATATTTACAACCATTTCACATGTAGAATTATTCTATAGGGTATAAACAGAGCCTAGAAGACATGATCTGAAACACACGTACGAGAAATATGCCACGATTAACAGCTGAAGGGAGAGAAAGAGCCATTGGGATGGTGCAGATGGGGTCGACATACAATGCTGTTGCCAACGCCCACTGATGCCACCGTATCACGGTCATAAGACTTATTCAGCGCTACAGACAGACTGGGATCACCGTAGACAGACCAAGAAGTGGACGTCCACGCATCACAACGCCAGCTGAAGATAGGTACCTCCGTCATTAAGGAAAGAGGGTAACGTTTCTTTTGGCGTCTAGTGTAGTTCATCAATAATATATTTTGAATGACATTAAACAAAGCAGTTTCAATATATATTCACGCGTCTCCTCTAATCTCAGGTCATGCAGGGGAGGTGGGGTAGCCTAGTGATTAAAGCATTCGCTCGTCACGCCGAAGATCCGGGTTCGATTCCACACATGGGTACAATGTGTGAAGCCCATTTCTGGTGTCCACCGCTGAACATATTGTTAAAAATGCGGCGTAAAACCATACTCACTCAAATCATGCTTTATAGCGTGTACCTGCACGTGCAAGTCCATGCACAGCACACAATTTGGATGTTTGCAGGTTTGTTGGCATCCTGGTTCTGAACATTTTAAAAGAGAATAGCACACATTGATTGTTTGGCTACCAGGTGCTAAAAGAACACTTTTGTGTATCTTTCGCTTACGCAATGCCGAGGCTTGCTAAAAATCAAATTCAAAACGCTGTGGTTATAAACAAAGCGATGTTGCCAGACTCAATATTATCTCTTTGGAGACGTTTTCACTAGGTCAATACTCTTGCCAGGGCCGGTTATCAACGCGTGACGTCACGTAAACAAGGCAACTACACTCAGTCGGTGCATCTACGGAATCGATACCAAACCGGCACATTGACAGTCCTGGTTTGAGCCCCATAACCCCGACATCCAGCGATTCCGTCAGGCATGCCTAGCTAGCATCTGAGGTTTAGAAGAAACGATTTGGACAGTACACAGTAGATCCAGGTTCATCTGGGTAGCTCAGATGATGGAACGAGGGACTACAAGTGTCAAGGAGAAGGGTTTACCTACTATTGCGTAAATTAACGTCATCAGTTTGGGCTTCAAAGACAACGTTTTAACCTACTGTTGCGTTAATCAACGTCATCAGTTTAGGGTTCAGGGTGAACGTTTTGCCTACTGTTGCGTTAATCTACGTCACCAGTTTAGGATTCAAGGTGAACGTTTTACCTACTGTTGGGTTAATCAACGTCACCAGTTTAGGATTCAAGGTGAACGTTTTACCTACTGTTGGGTTAATCAACGTCACCAGTTTAGGATTCAAGAGGCGTTTTGCCTACTGTTGCGTTAATCTACGTCATCAGTTTAGGATTCAAGCTGAACGTTTTGCCTACTGTTGCGTTAATCTACGTCATCAGTTTAGGGTTGGAAAAGATATAGCATGGGGTCGTCTCACAACCATTGAGAACAACAACTCATTACTATTAAAGGCAATATAAATGCCTTAAGCTACCAGAACAATATCGTTCCAGATCATATTTTATACCTTGTGCAATTTCAAGGACGTCACCTAATATTTGCAACACGATAATGCCAGCCCACGTGTTGCATGTGTTATAACAGATTATTTGAGGTAGGTTATTCCCAGACTACTAGGCCGGTTGTTTCTCTACTACTCTCCCCAACAGACTGGAATGCGATGAAACGACACCTACGACAGATCAGAACCAGCCGCTAACGTTATCTCAGTTTGCCAAATTTTAAGTTGACATTTGGAACATCATACCTCAGGCAACAATGTGTCTTCAGAGAGCTCTGCTGCATGTAGAAGCCTTAATGATGGTCGCACTCGATACTTATATTTAATTGTTAATTGAGTTGTTTAACCACCCCCCTTTCAGGGTATGTGGCTCTGTCGCCTGTAACCAGGTGTACGTTTTCTTATGAATTCGTTATGCTCAGTCGAATGACCAAAATAGTTTGTTTTGTTTGTGTTTTTAACAACAAAACATTTACACTATTTCATATAAAGCACTGTAACTCGTTTCCTATACAATATTAGATCTGCTTTTATTAAAAGCGACTAACAAAGAAAAGAGTCCAATACTTCCCTGTCCCCAGTAAACCTGGACACACCATAAGAGGGGAATTACAAGAAGATTCCCATCACAATCTAAACGTTCCCCTGCAGCAGACATACATAATGAAATACCGTGGAATGAGCGCGTGTCCAGAATGGATTTGCAATCATTAGGAATGGGACAACGCATGCAATAGGTTGTGCACTTTAAGGGGGTGATTCGCCTCTTTAATTCCCGACTAGAGGGATCGATTTCGACGCAAATCAGTGTTTACCACATCTCGAGATCCGTGGTTTAAAGATAACTTAGAACGAATCAATTACATAGACAAGAAACAGTAGATTACACTGCGGAAATAGGAAGGGATGGGACATTTGCGCCTCGGGTAAAAGGCCGACTCTTTTAAGCTGATGCCACTGGAGCGCCGTACGTTTAAATGTGATTTGATCTGCACAAGATCCAGTTAATACGTTCCTTGGTACATCGACCTACAAAAATGGTAGCATAGACACAAAATATATTATCAGTGCCATCATCGTGGTTGTCATCGCAGACATTATTGTTGTTGCTGTTGTTATTTTTGTTGTTGGTGGTGGTGGCGGTGAGGTATTTTTATTGGTGTTGTTATTATTATTATTAGTTGAACAACATTTTCTCTATAGACATTGCGCTAAATTTGAAGTGTCAATGATGTAATGTTGGTTAATTGGTCAAAGCTCTAATGGTTCCTGAATAGGAATGGTACAGCTCCATCAACCAAGATATTAACGAACTGTAGATGTTGACAGCAGTGAAATTGCAGTCTCACAGGTGTCAGTTCTCTTATACAAGGCTCACATTCACATGTACTTAGGCCATGTTTATCACTGTTCAACGGAAATGTATTATATATTATTCAAACATTTCCTCATACTCAGGATGTGACGTCAGATAACCCACAATACACTTACACTTCCGGAAGCTTGTCCGACCACCCTCTCCGCTGATAGGTCGCTCTTGTTGCCAATCAGTAAAGTGCTGACATTCACGGGGGCAGTTTTGTTGACTGTTTCCACCCAGGAAGGAACTGAATCAAAGGAATCCTGAAAATATAGAATTTATTATTCGTCATACTCAGATATATATTCTCACATTCTTATGATAGTCCCAGTACAAGGAAGTTGCCTGTTTGTTTGTTCGTTGTTTAACGCCGAATTAAGTAATAATGCAGCTATATGGCGGCGGCTGTAAATATTCGAGTCTGGACCAGACAATCCAGTGATGAACAGTGAGCATCGATTTACGCAATTGGGATACGATGATATGTGTCAGCCAAGTTAGAAAGCCTGACCACGCAGTACAAGGAAGAGATGGAGGAAACTTATCTTGAATTCTATAAACCCATTTCGGGTATTACATCCTTTCTACCCGTGAAGATCCGGGTTAGAATTGATGTTCAGTGACCCATGCTTGTAAGAGGCGACTAACGGGATCGGATGGTCAGGCTCGCTGACTTTGTTGACACATGTCATCGGTTCCAAGTTGCGCAGATCGATGCTCATGCTGTTGATCACTGGGTTGTCTGGTCCAGACTCGATTATTTACAGAGCGCCGCCATATAGCTGGGATAGTGCGGCGTAAAACTAAACTCATCCACTAACATCCTTTCTTGGAGCGTATAATTGTAACATAGTGTGTAAACAATAAGCACTCACTCACAGCACTCAACAGTTATATAATCGCATGGATAGAATATATATTCAAGGGATAGCAAATGTGCAAAATGGTACTCGTAGCCAGTGTTTATTCATTCGTAGTAATGTTTCATTAAAGCACATCAAATTGGGTACGGTTTTGACCAGCTTATCGAAGCACGAGTGAGTTTAGTTTTACGCCGCTTTTAGCAATATCCCAGCAATATCACGGCGGGGACACCAGAAATGAGCTTCACACAATGTACCCATGTGGGGATGCGAACCCGGGTCTTCGGCGTGACGAGCGAACGCTTTAACCACTAGGCTACCCCACCGCCCCTCGAAGCACGAGTGTTGACTGGAATAGGACAAGCTACGTTTCCTCGAGACTTCACCATAAGCAGGTAGAACCACGTGCCTCAGTACGACGGGTTCTGTCGAATATCCACTACTTTTTTCCACAATGAAAACTTTTAAAAAATCAAATATTCATTAATTTTACAATACCGCCATTCCGATGAAAAAATAACAGAAAAACCTGTACGAACCATTATTGTCTATTTAATGGCACCATAATCTATAAGCACAGATGCATCCAATCAATAAAACTTCTTCTTCGTTCTCATATATCATCCAGGAGAAACAGTAACCTTTGGTGAATCGTAATAACACAACTGCCATTTAAACATAGGGAACACAATCCATACTGCTGACCTATAAACCTGACAATACATACTCGATTTGGTGCTGCGGTGAGAATGAGAAAATTCCATTATTTAATAAATATCGAGTAGGTCGTAAAACGAATAGACACTGACTTCTCATAGATTGTGTCATAAATTCCGAATACTCTCATATGTATTGTGTTGGTCATAAGTGTCAGGGGGCTCTATTATCATTAAGGCCATTCGAATTGATGTATTTCTTATCTCTCTCAAAGAGAGCGGACGGACGAAAAAAAAAATTGCATGAATGTTTAAAATTCAGATCTCTTGTACAAGTATATAAATTAATTCATTATTTAGATCTATTCGCTTTGTTTCGGCAACAGTTTTGTAATTAATGTAGATGAGAGAAGATCAAGCTGACCTGTTTTCTGCAAGGGTAAGAGTATTGTATAGTTTATCAAATCAGGACACACATTTCCATAGCGGTTGGAAAACTGTGGTGGGAAAACGCTTTTATGCCCCACACACAATACAATGTACGCCCCCTGTTTTCCGCACTTGAGAATTAATTAAAAAACGTATAGCCGGTGTGCTCCATCCTGTAGCCTACACTTTTCCGATTCAACTGGACATACAGAATGATGTGCCCATCCTGCATTCTACGTATCCTACACTTTTCCGATTCAACTGGACATACAGAATGATGTGCCCATCCTGTATTCTACGTACCCTACACTTTTCGGGGCGGTGGGGTAGTCTAGTGGTTAATGTGCCCATCCTGTTTTCACGTATCGAAGACCCGGATTTAACTGGACATACAGAACGATGTGCCCATCCTGTATTCTACGTACCCTACACTTTTCCGATTCACCTGGACATACAGAACGATGTGCCCATCCTGTATTCTACGTATCCTACACTTTTCCGATTCAACTGGACATACAGAACGATGTGCCCATCCTGTATTCTACGTATCCTACACTTTTCCGATTTTACTAGAAATACAGAAACACGTGTCCTTCGTGTAACACACATCTAGGATTTCACCCGATATACAGAAGCACGTGCCCCTCCTGTAACACATACATAGGATTTCACTAAAGACAAGTCTACATATACACACATATGTTCATTGCACTCACCTTGCTTGTGACGGAGTAGACCAGAATAATGCCATGTGCCCCTCGGAAGAAGTTGCTGGAGAACGACCGGTATCTCTCCTGTCCCGCCGTGTCCCACTGCATCAATGTTTTAGATGTATTCAGCACATAGTTTATTACCATCTCATTAACATGGGGACTGTGTTACATCTTGACAGAAATTACTATATACTTAGTGAGGTGAGGTGAAATTGGGTTTTACGTCGTGCTTGAGAATATTTCGCTCATATGACGACGTGCATGCGTGTGTATGTGTATGTGCGGCTGCTTGTACTAGCCCAGACTGAAGCTGGTTTTATAGTGCTAGCCCACTGAGATACCATGCCGCAGTGAAGCAGGAATACCCCACTCAGATACATTATACTGACTCCGAGCCGACCAGTCCTTGTACCCATTAATGCCGAGCGCCAGACAGGGACCAACAATTGCAAGTACCATATTTTAACGTATTTTGGTATGACGCGGTCGGGGATCGAACCCGCGACCTTCCGCTCTCCGGGCGGACGCTCTAACCACTACACCGGAGGCGGAGGCGGTCACTATATACTTAGTAGAAACATGATAAGCTATGAACTTACGATTTGTAGCTTGATTGTCTTCCCGTCAACTAAAATTGTTTTTATTTTCTGAAGTCAATAAATAGAAAACATTAGATATATTAACATATAGATCATCAAACTTATTTAAAATTCAATTCTAAAATTACGATGACAATTAAATCATAGACATGTATGAACATTGGTATGTGTTTTTTCAGGAATACAACTGCATAGTACTCATGAAACATAGGTATTGATTCATCTACACGTTTAATATGTCTTGGCGTACATATGAATGTAAGTATGAAAACTTTGAGGATGTACAGTTACTTGAACTGACGTGTCTACAAATAATGTATTTCTTGTAATTATTCCCAAGACTCTTTCTTCGTCCCTTTTAACTAGATTAAGTTCTAAATAGTCAACTTACAAAATCAACGCCAACTGTAGTCTTTGTGTCAAACGAAAATGTGTCGTCCTGTTAACAACACAAAAATGAGATGATAAACACAACAGAGCTATATATACCCTAATGAGACCGAGTTTATTAAATTATAAGAGACAGACCATTATCAAATTCCGCATCATCTTATCATGTTCCACAATATCACATTAATTTTAACTTTCTATGTTTCATAAATTTCCGAAATAATCTACACTCCACACATTCCAGTACACGATCCGATCTGTCTTTTATGATCACCCATTGCTATTTATAGACCGGGAAATCCCAGGGTAATGCGTCATGACTATCAACAAAATCTCAACACGCCCAAATTGTACATGACACAAAATGACAAACACTATATGTATACTTACTGCAAACCTCGTCATTAAACATGATTTTCCAACACCGGTGTCGCCGATAAGAACCAATTTGAAGAGAAAATCACTGCAAAATGCAAGTCATCTCAATTCACTCAATGTAAACATAGAACAGCGATCTGACAGCAAACAACAACGTTATTTCTCAATACAGTGGGTTGACAAGAACAATGGTGTCCCGTTTTAAATCTACATGTTATTTCTGAAAAAATGTTCTCGACTACTCAGATACGATTTACTTACTAATCCGAGGCTGCCTTCAGCATGTAGGCCATTTTGATTTCGTGTTTTGTAGCTTGTGAGATATGACTGTCTCGCGCATGTTTTGTGTCTAAATATAGAATCACGTGATCTTTAATCACCGATGAATCTTTCGGTCAATATCTACATCTATATTTAAAATCACAAAGGGAAATTCCGATTTCTAGTTTCGAAGAGATATATAGCATTTTCAAGTTTAATATTCATAAGAAAACAGGAGATGATTATTTATTCTTGAAGTCTTAATTTATTTATGTTCATTAGCGTACCTAAACGATCTAAAGTTACATTAGCGAATTACTCCAAGAAAACTGACTTTCAATGAAACTGAAACTACCACTAGAAGATATATATTCTGTTTCTTCATTGTAGTCGCAATACTTAAATAACGATCATCATATTAAACTATATCAAGCTTTATCTATTATAACCTAAATTAAAGTAGTGTCAAACGTATAGAGACTGACTAACGCTTAGTCCCAGAATATATATAAGTTTAATAGTAACAAATAAAGTCATTTAAATTCAGTAGGAGCCCCAGTGAGTTGGGATATAACCTGAGGAAATCTAGACTTGCTTTATTTAGGATTTCAGCATTGCAGTGAGAGCTAGGCAGTAGGGAAAATAATGTGAGGGACCGTGAGGCAGACTAGTATAGAGATAATAGAGTCATTTTCACAGTATATACGAGATGAACAATTTATTGTAACCATGTAGGTTGTCGCTCAGACATTTTACTACAGCTTCGAAGACAATCGTGTTCTTACGATCCAGGGTAGGTAACTCTCAGTTTCTGTTCGTATTGAAGTATCTATAAAATCGACACAACAGATAATGAAACGAAGAAACACGACTTCATCCAACATGTTATCAGAGGTACAAATAAGCTGTGTATCTGCGTAAATTACGTAAATATTTATGTAAAACTCAATTCCTATTACGACTATTGCGTACAAGTACGCTTGAATTTTTGTAAATTCTCAATAAATGTGATCTTACATGCGTACACACAAAAAATGTCAAATCTTAGCTTGCGTACCGGTGGATAAATAAAATAACTGTAGTATATTGAGACATTCTATTTCAGGACATGAACTTGGCAACTTGCAGTCTTTCTTATCGTTTCTCATATTACAGATCAAATATAAATAACAAACACTAACATTTAAACTTTATTGTATTTTTAAAGTTAATGGAAATAGTAAAATACCCAATTGAGTTTGAGTGAGATGAGTGCAATTTATTTAGTTACTCAAAGGAAAATTAGGATACCCCAATTGGGATGAGCACAAGTGAGTACACAACTCAATGACCCCAAAAGTTATCTGTATCTCTGTTATGTTTTAATAAATTGAAAATAATTTGCACTATCGATTATTTCAAAGCAAAATGGTTTGCTTTAATACAGCTAGTTATGCATTTTCTTCCTGCATCGACAAATTTCGAATTAAATTAATGTACAATAGGGAGAGTTCAACGGATATACAACTTCTGTATTATTTATTTGAGCGACATGTGTATGATAAAGAAGTTGTATATCCATAGAATTCTCCCCGCTGTTCATCACACCAACTTCTAAATACCACTCAAAGAAGTTAAAACAATGCAATTATTTAACGGAATATAACAAAGGGAAAATTCTATATTTCGTTACTCTCTTTTCGTAAATTGCCCGTTCCGTATTCGGTCTGTGTGATCGACGGTAATATCAAGTTCACAGCTGGACTGGGCCTGTCTACTCAGAGTCTGTTATTAGATGAGCTGTGTGTGAGAGGTGTCCCAATAGTCTCGTCGTATGATCTGACACGCTCTCTGTATTCAGCGTGCCTGTCTAAGCATTGCCGTGAGGAGCAGAAGCCCCAGCGAGCCTAACCACCCGATCCCGTTAGTCGCCTCTTTCTTCAAGCATGGGTGCCTGAAGATCAAATCTAACCCGGATCTTCACGCCTTTTACAAGTTACTGAAGATCAGTTATCACCCGGATCTTCATGGGTCTGACTAAAACGAAACAAATAGGAAATGGTTACTTGATGACGAATGTGACACGGTTATCACGATTGTGTATTAGACTTTATGTCTGTTGTGTTTCAGGACTTTTTCAGTGTAGTATCGGGTTGGTAATGTATCAAATCCATTTTCAAGTGTATATTTGTTTGCCGGGCAGTTTACTTTCATTAATGACCCCAAAGAATACCCCGTGTAACTGATATACACATTATATATAGTTAAAGTACATAGCCTCCGTGGTGTAGTGGTTAGAGCGTCCGCCCGGAGAGCGGAAGGTCGCGGGTGGGGTTCGATCCCCGACCCCGTCATACCAAAAGACGTTAAAATATGGTACTTGTTGGTCCCTGTCTGGCGCTCGGGATTAATGGGTACAACAAGGACTGGTCGGCTCGGAGTCAGTATAATGTATCTGAGTGGGGTATTTATGCTTCACTGCGGCATGGTATCTCAGTGGGCTAGCACTATAAAACCAGCTTCAGTCTGGGCTAGTACAAGCAGCCGCACATACACATACACACGCATGCACGTCGTCATATGAGCGAAATATTCTCAAGCACGACGTTAAACCCAATTTCACCTCACCTCACCTCACATAGTTTATGAATCGATTTTTAGTAATTACGTAGAGGTAGTGAGATAGCCTAGTGGGTAAAGTATTCGCTAGTCACGCCGTAGAGGCGGGTTCGATTCCCCACAGGGTTACAACGTGTGAAGTAAATAATCGAGTCTGGACCAGACAATCCCGTGATGAACGTCAGGAGCATCGATCTACGCAATTGGGATACGATATTGATGACATGTGTTAAGCAAGTCAGCGAGCCTGTCCATGCGCTCGATCCCGACATTCGCCTCTTACGGCAAGCATGGGTTACTGAAGATCAATTCTAACCCGGATCTTCGCGGGTCTGCTAAAAGCGGCGTAAAACAATAATCCTGTATTTATTACATAAGTTCAGGTGGGTATGCATCCATGGACATTTCACCGTTCTATATTTGTTACAATATATATAGACACATCTCTGTGCAGTAGCCGAATAACCTCGAACAAACCGATGCCGCAAAATACGATTCACTTAATCACTGCAATCCTTTGTAGCAGGGGTGTTACAACTTCGCTTTGTCACATCTCTACCGATACCACTGTGAGATTAGAGCTTAGGAAGCAAGGACTCGTGTGTCACGTGACTTCTGTTCAGTTCTCCGAGGCTTGAGACACCTGAAAAGAGTTTCACAAGAATCACCAACTTGGCATATAGTCTTACCGCTAGGTAGTATTACGCTAAGCTTCGCCATATATCAATCATTCTCTCACCAGTCTGCAACGGGAACAAGTACGAAAATCAGGAGATCGCCCAAAGAAGCAATAACCCACATAGAAGAGAGTGAGTGAGTTATAATTTAACGTCACATTTGCAGTATTTCAGCCATATAGTGACGACCATTGAAGAAGAAAGTTCACAATATAAATATGTATCAAGCTGATGTGACGTTTTGAACCATTGCCTCTAAATGTATTTTATTAGTGGTGCATCTTAACATAAGTAGAATTAATGACAGCTGAATGTTTCTGAAAGAAAACAGAAATATTTAATTTAACATGATTGCAAAAAAAATATTTGATTCAGGTAAAATGCATATTTCTGGAAATAGGTTTTCAGTAGGTGTCTTGAGTTATCAGCGTCTTCAGTTTTCTTCTAAAGATTTCCTTTAAATAATTACCTGTCTTGAACTAAATTCTATACATGAAGCAAGCATCAAACAAACATACAGTGAATTTCTTTCAAGACAATAGAGGTTCTGTGAGAATGAATCTTGATTAGTACAGGCGATGCACTTAAAGAATATATGACCTTGGGATGACCTTGACCTTTTACATGAATGAAACATGTGACACGTTGATGAGTTAATGTATAATTCATCATACCTGATTGGAATTGAATAGAGATGACACATTTCAACATGTACAGCGTTAGTGACGAGAGACCATTCTGCAACCTACCAAGGAGCGCCATTGCGTTGTCCACTTCATCCTTTACCAACTGCAGCAGATTAACAACGCCCTCTGTGCCCTGTCAAGGGGAGAAAACTTGTGCAAGAAAATGTCTGTGGATGAAAAATGGCCTACAGCCTATGGTGTTCGTACTAATACCCCAACTACCACGGTGGTACATCTTTCGGTCAAATCACCCCTCATACGATCAAACACGAAATGTCCAGTCGAACCCGTGTGCGAAATACACTGTCATTATGCCGGAAGCCAGACGTTAAATCTCCAAAATCGTCATCATCATCATCATCATCATCATCATCGTAATCATCGGTGGCACCTGTTTACCCTTCTGACCCCTCCGGCTCAGAGTGTGAACACAGCGCCCCCTGCTTTTGTAATCAGACTCAAATTAAGAAACTGTGATTGCAATGTTTGACTGTACGTGTCAGAGCAACCGCTCGAGTCCGTCGCTGTTTATCCACTGGTGTTTCTCATTCTATATCTGCTATGGCTACATTATTGCAGTATGTAAGCATGCACTAACTACACTCATAACGTATTTCCAAAACTGACGCATGAGTCACCGAAGTCAGATGCCAGTCCATTTATTAACGTGCACTATGTGTACTTGTGTCTTTTCAGGTCAAAAAATGACTAGTCTTGCACGTGTATGTGAAAGATGCCACCGACGGGGCAGGATACGCTCACTTTTTTGTGTGAAAACCTGGTTTCATCACTGTTTGATGATGGAGCATAATTACATGTTTACGACACAGTGGGAAGTGCACACTGGATTCTGCATTTATAAGAGTTTTTAAAGGGTGGGGAATAGTTTTCGTCGTTTTTATGTTCCACAACATTTTAAACTGGGTTGTGCAAGCCTTGTGTTGTCAGGGTCTTTCCCGATATGATAAGCTTTATAAAGATCTTTCTTGATGGACTTTTACTCGAAAGAAGTGCATGCGTACATGTAAGCAACGATTTACGTCGTCATCTACGTCCATCCGATCCATTACGTCGTCTCTTACGACGACAATTTTCCCGCGGAAAAGGAAGCCTAATCACACTACAGCAACTACAACGATTCTCTGTTACAAACCACCACACTTCACCTTGTGGACGAGTCCCCATAATGCTGGCCTGCCGATGAACGCTGCCCTGGCGCCGATTGCTATAGCCTTGATGACGTCATATCCACTCCTGACGCCACCGTCCACGTACACCTCACAACGACCACCGACAGCGTCCACAACCTCAGCGAGAACATCTAACTGTTTGGAAGTAGAAAATATCTCACAAACGTTTGTAAGTTAAGCTTGAAATAACCAAATGAATTGCCTTTAATGCCGCTCTGAAAAAATGACAGTACTACCACGGCGTGTCCACGTTTTGTTGGAGAACCACATAAGCGAAACCTTAGAGCCAACGGATTCTGATACAACTAAGGGAGGCAACTTTTGAAATTCATGAAGTCATTATTCGTTTTTTTGTCATGAGAGCACAAAATACATATGCATACATATCGGCGAAAGTTGAAAACCAAACAATAGTCGGGGCCCCCAAAAATTACACACATGGATGTCCATGAATATATACAGAAAGTTTGTCCTGTGAACACCATCCACAATGTACAAATAATGATATTTTCACCACACAATATAGACTCTGATGTCATCATCCATCGAAAGACAAACGGTTATGGTATTTATATACAGTCGAGCACCGTTGTCTCGATATTCATGGGACCAAGAAAAAATATCGAGTTATCCGAACTTCGAGACATCCGACCTGGACATATTATCGCATATCACTATGAAAGAAAACAAAATGCTTCTCGGTATGTTTTGATTCGAAACTATAATCCGTAATCAGTAGTGTTTAGTCGTAACAGTGAGTACTTCCAAATTAAATCCTTCTTAATTAATCCTAATTAAATAACAAACAAATGTCACCTTCAACTCATTTAGCCCTAATTTACACTACCGCATCTGCTACATGGCTCTGTTCAGGCAAGTTTCCTGTCATCATGCCCTCAACCTCCCCGTTCATGTATATCAACGGATGTTTACAGATATAAGCACTGAGCACCTGTTACATACATGACAATACGACATTAATCTACCATGAAATCATTCCATCAGTACAATAGTCACACGTATTGACATGTTTGTTATGGCCCACTAAGTCTGCGTGTTATGAGTCGTAACGTTTTGGGTCATACCTATGGAATCCGAGAAGGGACATTGTCTCGTTGTCGCATTGTCGCCCTCTCAAAAACAAATAAAATGAGGCAAAATAAACCAAAACGCGACACGCGACATCGCGACAACGCGACATTTCGCTCATTTGTCGCATTGTCGCGATGTCGCGTTTTGGTTAACTTTGCCTCATTTGAGAGGGCGACAACGCGACAATGTCCCTTCCAGGATTCCATACATTGCACTATAGATAATCTGTTGCACTTGCCATTGTCATGAAATTAGAGACCATTCCTAAAAAGTTTACAATAACAAATGTGGAAGTTAAAAAGCAGAAACAAATAACATAATGTAAACGTGAAAGGAATTTGTAAAAATACATTTTTGTGGGTTCCGATCATTCAGGATTGAATAACTGACTCCTTGTTTTGTCTCTCAATCAACCAACTCACACACTTAACCATCGATCTAAGATGATCTCTACTCATTTGCATATTTCAAGCTGCATGGCAAAAATTATGGTCTTTATCGTCACCGTCTGTATCTTCTATGAGGAGAGCAATCTCCCTTGCACTGACTCACCGAGGCCGGTACACTGTCTAATTGTCGCCCGCCGTGATTTGACACCCAGATAGCCGCCACACCGTGAGATACTGCCTTCCTCGCATCTTCAGCTGAAGTTACAGATTGCTTTAGTTGGATATATAGCCTTTTTAAACAGTTACTGATGAAAGCATCAGCCTAAATGGACGTTAATACAGCAAGGTGTATCATTTCGTCGTTTGAGTATTATGATTATGATGACAAGAGCATGAAAATAATAATATCAATATTGATAGATATAGATACATGTATTTCGTTTACTTCAAGCGTTAACGTTATTAGGATACCTCTTTACAGAACAACCAAGGCCGGTTATTTCAACATAATAACTTAATGGCTGGTTACCATTTAAAACTCCCTTGACAATTACAGGCAATCGGGTGAAGTTTAGAAGCCATTTGACGTCATCCCACGTGATCGATGGATCCAACTGACTCCCAACAACTTCCAAATATGGCACATTGGCTGCATCAGTTCTCAAAGATTTGAATATGCCATCAGAAGCGTCGATGTTCGGCAATCTGAAGATAAACAACAACTATCTAGGATATACTAATCTGTATGTGTGGAATAGAACGGGGGTAAAAAGCACAAAGAGATAAAACATTGAATACATTTTCATCGTGTATCAATATGTACTCAACACTAGTCTAATTTCATATTAATCGTTTGATCTCTGCGTTCAGATCTCAGGACAGATTTATAGAAAGCCACGTAAAGTAAACTCTCAGCAAACTGAATCCTAATTAAAACTAAAAAAGGCATGGATTTGAAATCCAGTAGGATATAAGTTTGCTTAACCAAATTAAACTCGATTTGGGAATTTCAGTTTCTATAAATGAAAACCCGCACAGAGCACAAATGATCTTTCGATCGTACTTCCGTTTGACACCATGTTGCTCTGTACCGAAGGAATATTGGTTACAGAGGCCTAACACCATTCCTACTCAGTACTTCAATGGACACTTGTTTCGGTTTCAAAGGAAGACATTGATGGCCTTTAGTCAGACCCATCGATTCGAGATACAACCATCTCCAAGTCGCATAAAAAGTCCGGTACGACCTAAGACAAGAAAAGGTCAACAGATTATAAGAAAACTGAAACCTGAGGTGACCCGGAAGTGTAAATCCTCCCCTCATAGTAGACAGCCTCCTGCCGGCAAACGGCGCATCTACCGTCAAAACAAGGGCAGAGAACCCAGCCGCCTCAGCTCTCCGCACCAGCGTTTCCGTCAGGCGACGTTCCTTGAATATGTAGAGTTGGAACCACCTGACGCTGTTGGGAGCTCCGACTGCTATGTCTTCAATGCTAAATGTTGAGACGGTGGAGAGACCAAAGGGGAGCTGGAGTCGCTCACAGGCTGCAACAGTGTTGAGAGTAATACCACAGAGGAAAGTGGCAATCAAGAAAGTTAAATGAAAGTTGAAAGTATAATTTATTCAAAAACATCATTCTGTGTATATAGCATACGTCGATTCTGTAATCAGGCATCATATCTATCTCGAAACTGAGTGTTACGCCCTCTTGCCCAACACAACATGCATCGGACTACCTTTATCTGTGTCAAGCTGGTAGAATAGAGTGAGTTAGTTTAGTTTTACGCTGCACTCAGCAATATTCCAGCTACACGGCGTCGGTCTGTAAATAATCGAGTCTGGGCCACCGCCATATAGCTGGAATATTACTGAGGGCGGCGTTACACAACAAACAAACAAACAAACACATCCTCAGAAAATGGCATGCAGTTATACACAATATTGATGGTGCCACGCCAACTTGCCATCATTCGTATAACACTGCAGTGACTCCACCTACCTTTAGCTATTCCCATCTCCCCATCCAGATGGGCCATCCGGCACATGGACATTGGTGCCACGCCTACTGGACAGCTGACCGGGCTGCCCAGCACTGTAGTGGACATGTCCCTCTTGGATACATCCTTCAGCACGCGGGGACGAAACCGGTATCTGTACACACAACAGCATGAATGAGAGAGTGAGTGAATTTAGTTTTACGCCACTTTTAGCAATATTCCAGCAATATCACGGCGGAGGACACCAGAAATGGCTTCACACATTGTGCCCATGTGACACACTTTTAAGGAAGGACAGCAATATATGGGTGAACAACTTATTACAGTGGGGCAACGTTTGGGTGTTCTAACACCGTTGTCAAGCAAGTGGTCACTTAAACCTACACAGAAACCTCGCTCCAACTGTAACCCCAAGACGTTGTTCATCCAAATACTGTTATTCTTCCTTAATGCCCCAACTTGTAAATGCCTCGCAAAGGAATCACACCTTTAAGCTAACCATCAGTAAAGCATCACGGACAGGTCACCCTTTGTGTCCCAGTCGGACTTAATTCAGGGTATAGGTGCCGACTCCTTGTCCAACTGAAGTCAAGAGTAATTTGACAAATCTAGAAAGTATGCATTGTTCTGGGACACATTTTGTGTATTTATTATTACATATTTTCAAGAAGTCGCTTTATTTCTTGGACTAAATATTAGTCTAGGTATAAATGATATAGATATCAGACGTTTGCAATCCCAGTGAAAGCCACGAGAAGGAATATGGTGAACGTGGTATTAATCGTGACATGGTAGTATAACGGTAAACTGCAATCTATCTCGGATCACTCACTGCATGTCTCAAGCGTGTTGACGCACCATACCTCTTATACACCAGCGCGTTTTCCTTCAGTGTCTGCTCCGACGATGATCCCGCCTTAAAATAATCCTCAACCATAGCAGGGAGTTTGCCCTTGGCGTAATCCTCATAGTCCCCGACACAGAGTAAGGGGGTAGAAGACGCTGGCATGGTTCAGGAGTTCACGTCCAGGTAAGACTAATAAGCAGATATGTAGTCCAGGTGTTAAAACACAAGTGACATAGATTTAAAGCTATTTTTAAGTTCAAGGTTGCGTATATCTAATCAGTATGAGAGTATGTCAACAATGCGTTTAGAAAATGGCTGTTTATTTTCAAGACCGATGATTGTGTGGAGCAGAGTCACTGGTAAGTGTTATTACTTCAACACTATTGGGTGTATGTATATTTATACACATGTGTGTGTTCTCACAGTAAATCATAACTTTGTATGCTGTGATAGCGAACGAATTCTAATCGGTAATCGCCAGCCTTGATACATGGGCTGTCGTTTGGTTGATGCTTTCGTACGCGAGATTTTAGTGTGCCATATGAATTTTTAAAGGCACTATATCACACCAAACTTCCCCCCAAAATAAATAATGCTTTTCTCTCAATAATACTAACTATCAGCCTTCAGGGAAGCTACCATGTAATAATATTCCAAAACTATTTACGTTGTTAGATTACAATATTTAATTAAACAGTACGAATGAATTAATGCAACATTGCAGTTAAACGACTCTCGCGACCTCTACCGGCCGAACATTATTTCAAGCGAACCCCATAGGGTTATGTCCCTTGGAGGGCTAATTCAGGAATATCCTACACACAACTTGTGATTGAAACCAGTTTCGGCAAACACCGACAACACCGCGTGCGACAGTTTTCGATGTACGCAGCAATTACATTCCATCTATGGCAAGTGTTCTCTGTTTGGAAGCTGTTCGCCTCGGAGTTTCAATTACCGATTTCAGGCAAGTCGTAATAGGGCAGGAAACAAACCCATTTTTGGGGGGTGATTTGATCAAATTGAGAGGTATACATGATCTATATATCAAATTAAAGCTGAAGACCTATAGAATAATATAAGACATGATGTGGAAATATTCGCGTGGATACTTTCTGGTAAAACCGGATTTGGGGTCAAAAACACTAAAAATCATAATTTTCCAAATATCCTTATTAATTTTCAAACTATTGACCCCATTCAAACAAATTCACCATCAAATGAAAGGTTGCCCTCTGTACAATAGAAAAATAATAGTGATTGCAATATTTAGACATAAAATTTTCATTGCATGATTGAAAATTTGGGTAAAAAATGTAATTTTCGGTCCTCCTTTTTGTCAGGTATGATACAGTAGAAGAATAATAAATCTAATTGGTATAATTTCAAAATTACCTTTTAATCACTCATCACTATCATCATTACAGGTAAAGATACATTAATATCTCTAAAATAGAACATTGTTAAAGATACTGAAATATAAGTGTAATGTGTTAGGAACCAACAATCCTTCAAACTAGATTCACTTGCTGTTCTTTTTGTAAAGCAATAGTATGTCTTGTGTTAAAGGTTATTGTAATAACTAACAACTTGGAAAAGGAATATGATTATTACACAGGTCATTCTTCATTGTCACTGGTTATCTTCACCAAGATCATTCATGGTGTTAGTGCAATCCTGTCCACGCTTGCAAGGACACAGTTCAATACAGATTGCTCTGTCTACAAATGCACCACACCGAGGAGCATGGGGACTTGCAGCAGGTGCAAACAAGGCAGTCAAGAACTTCCGAAGCAGTTTGATGTTCAAACAATGTGGGGTTGAGCAATCCATTCACCCTAGTCCAGGCAAAATCTTCAAGGTTACCAAACTCTGGTTTACCACAATGAGAACTTGTCCAGATGCTAGTTTGCGGCATCACACGCTTAACGTGCTGTCGAAAGCTGTCTTCGCATGAGGGAAGTTTGGCAAGCTCAATGTCTGTTGAAATCTCATGTCATTAAAATGAATGAGGTGGTTTAACCTTCTTCCTGGGGTCATACAAGGCTGACGTTAGATTGCCTGCAGACCTCCACTGCTGCATCAAGGTTTCCTGAAGATAAGACTTGATGACTTGAAAACAGATCTTTATCTTTCATCTTTGTCTTTGTCTTCTTGCCAACATGAAAATAATGCTGATGACGTATCTCAGCCAGTAAAGGCATGGATTCCTGGCAAAGCAAATGACATTGATGATCCAAGAAGATGGCAGATGTTATGGACATGATTGAACCGGTGCTTGTCCGTGACTTCAGAAGACACTCCAGTTTTCATGGACATGCTCCATTTGTGGACAATAGCAGATATATAGTATGAGAACATCTGTATCAGGGGACTTGATGATGATACTTCCTTCAAATGCCTCTCTTCAAACTCACCATTGCAGTACATGGCGTTGAAGAGCATGCATGTATCAACTTCTTCTTGAGAACATTCAAGTGCATCAATGCAAGCATCACCAGTGGGAGGGATCAACTTGGTCACCATTCCATCTTCATATCTTCCTGAGAGATACAATCCTCCTTGTTGTTCTGTTGACATTGTAGCAACTTGGACTTTGGTACACAAAACGTTGTTAACTGTGACATGTTCTCAGATACACCAAGAAACTTGTTCCACTGTGGAACCTGTCTGCCTGATGACACTTGATACTTCTTGCCGGTGTTGAGGTCAGCCCTTCGTGAACGTTCTGCAGACTTAGTGGAGTTGCGATTGTCATACTGGTCGAACATATCTATGACAGTATCAGCCCTTGTGAAACACTGCTTCATATTTTGCATATAACTGTCAGCAACACTATCCAACGCGGAGGGAATGGCAGGTTTCATACTTATCAATATTGCCATTGTATCGCGAATGTGGACAGTGTCTTTTCGTCAAAGTCTGGTAAAGTGTCAATATTCTGTACAATTTCTTCTAATTTGTCTGTCAAATCGGCATTGGATGTCTTCCTCCTTGATCCATCTTCATTGAAAAGTAATGTAGGAACTGATCCTATGGGATGTGCGAGAACCTTAGCCATTGTGACATCATCACGACAATCTGTCAGACATAATGGTCTTCTAAAGACCATTTCTGCGTGCAAATGCACAAGTGGAACAGTCCCATCTTCACTAAGAAACATCTATGATGAAGCAAATCCTGACCACAAAGATCATTTCCAAACAACTGCACAAGTCTGGTAAAAACATCGTCTTGGCTCAATTGGGCAGTGATTGTAATTCTCCAGGTGATAAATTTGTTCGAGCACTAATTATGATGCAGTACTCGGCAGATGAATGTTTACTCTTTTGGACTTGGCCCCTTTAAGTCAATTTCTATTTGAAGTTAACCTGAAATAAGGAAAGTTTCATCATTAAATCTTCTTACATTTATTAACAGTAGAACATATTTCATAAAGAGAGTGGGTGGTGGGGTAGTACAGTGGTTAAGACGTTCGCTCATCACGCTGAAGACATTGGTTTGATTCCCCACATGGGTACAATGTGTGAAGTCCATTTCAGGTGTCCCCCGCTGTGATAGTGCTGAAATGTTGCTAAAAGCGGTGCAAAACTAAACTCACTCATAAAGAGAATTCCTTTCTTAAACATGAAATGTCATTATGATTTGGGTTAAGAGCAACATTTAAAGTAAATACGTCTTACAAATAAAGGTAGGATTTTATCAATAAATAAGTCAATGTAGGTGTAACTTCTGTGATACTATATATAGAGATATATATATCTAAAAGGCTCATGAGAGAGTGATCTTTTTTGGACTTGTCCAAACTGCACTGGCTTTGGCTCCATTGCCTAAGTTTTTCAGAAATATACCTGAATGAAAAAAAATTAAACTTGAAATCTTCAAAGATTTAAAATATATCATTGTTTCAGGGAGGAAATCATTTCATGAAAAGAAATGCCCTTCTTAAACAAAAAATTTCATTTTGACACAACAAAATAAGGGCTTTTTGTTATGTTTAATATTCATTATAAAAACAAGTTAGGATCTCATCCCTGAATATATGTGACTGTATGCGAAACTACTGTGAAATACATACATACCTAAAAGGTACGTGAAAGTGTTCAATTTTGGACTTGACCTATCTTGACAGAATTGGGCACTTATGTATCTGTATAAGTTTAAATTTAATCATTAAATTTGTTTACATTCGTAATGTATCAATAAAAACAAGAGAAAAACTATTTCAAAAAGGGAAATGTCTTTTTAAAAAATACAAGCTTTCATTATAATGCTACATGAAAATGATAGCAATTTTTTTTTAAATATGTACATTGTATTTTAAAAAATCAAGATATTATTAATAAATAAAAGAATGTATGTGAAACTATTAAAGGTAAAAGTTTAACAAATAAAGTAATCTAATGCACAGTTTTAAGAAAAACCTTTGCAATCAATTTTCTTGTTATATTTTACCAAAAAAATTCAAATATAAATTAAAAGGTATTTTAGTGAAAATAATTTTGGACAGCATGCACATATTGAATTATATCTATGTTTATAAATATAATTCAATCTAATAAATATTTTTTGAAGAAATTGTCCTGTCAAATTATAAGGTAGTGTTTATATTTTGGTAGAAAAAAAAATACATTTATGTTTGGGGAAATTATATACGTTAAGAAAGAAATTATTTCATTTCTACATTTTTATAATCAACATATCTTCTTTAAAAATCACTTCAAAACATATTTATTGCTAAAATTGGTGTGTGTTTTTAGTTGAGGATCACAATCGGGTAATATTAAGTTGTAGGGAAATATTGCTTACACTGACAATGCATTTTATACAGGGTGGCCCTCTCAGGGTTTCAGAATGTTATCTGTACATTTTTTCAAAACTTCTTTGAAAAGAATCATCAAAAACCTAATAAAATCATAATTTTATAATATCTGAAATATAATTGGACCAATAATAGAAAGATCAAGCATAAGATTCTCTGAATAGGATTTGATGAATATCTTCATCCTTAAAATGGCCTCTCAAGGAGTTTCATCAGTTAAAACTTTAGAGTTAGTTATCTTGAAATCTTTCAATGAAACAGTTGACTTTAAACATGTAAAATGCCATGAAAATACCTTAGGATATCAGGTACAATAACAAATTACCTATTTGAAATGCATTTCAAAATGTTATCATCAAACAAGATTAGTGCATAACTAACCCACTGGTAATCTTCTGTAATTTCTATCATTGAAACATAAGGTTCTGTGGAAATGTACACAATTAGAAAACAACTTACCTCAATAATGATATTGAAGAAATCTGAAGACTTGTCAATGCTTCGAATGAAAATCTTTGGAAAAAGATTTAACAAGCTGTCAAGTTCCAAATGTCAACACTGCTAGGACAGCAACTTAGTGGTCTCAGCAGACTGCAGGAAGTACTGGTAGTACTGTTTTCTTGATGACTCATTTTACGGCAGAGTTTCTCTACAGACTTTATTGGTGTGACATAAAAACGTTTTTATAAGAAAATGTCCACATAAATTTCACATCATTTTTTTTCTTAATGCTCAGATCACAAGCTTTCATTTCATGTATAGATTGTGTATACCTCTCTCAGATATCAAAAACAAATGGTTTTTGAAGGAATATCAGGTTTGTGTCCTGCCCTATAAGGGATGATAAGTATTTTATTGCATCAATAGGAAGCTAAAGTGAGTGCATATGCCCCAATATATATATAATACAGGCCAACATATTGTCGAAAATGTGTGACATTGTGCCTTTAAGTATCGATAGGAATAAAAACTATTTATACCGATGGGAATAAATCATTATTCAGTCATCCTAAGGTCAGAATATTAACAGATGCCCCATTAAAGTATGCGGCTATTTCTTGGCTTTGATGCATAAAAAATAACACTCGCTGGATTTATGCATCCAGTAAGCTTAAATGTACATACTGAGTCACGAGGGATGTACATCAATACATGTATTCGTTGCACTAAACCAACGACATGAAATATAGGTTGCATGTAATTAACATAGATACAATAACTACATCTTACAGTTCAGTACACTGCACCATTTCATTACGTTACAGGGTCCTCACTTTTCTTGTAAAGACACTTGACACTGTATCAACATTTTAGATGCAGTTTCATACAATCGGACGTTCCCAAGTATATTTCCTTTACGGGAGCTTAGTGGATAACTTATAGTACTGATCGTGGAATGCTTGGAAATTGGAGAACTTGTTTGATATACAATGTATAGTTCTTGCTTTTGTGGAATTCGAGCATCCTCGATAATCTCCAGGGTATACGTTACCATAACTCTCGACTATACCCTGGATGCATCCACGGCTTGGGGCGATGATTTTATTACCTCCCTTGGCTGATTCCGCATTCTCACAGTAGCCAATCAGCTGAGCCGCCGTTACAAACGAGCTTGCCAGTGTCAACAAAGCTAGCGGTCGTAGTCGCGATGGTTTGTTCGCAGTGCCACTCAGATTTTTGGGGAAATAATAAAGACAAATTCACAGATCTGAAACTTTCGAAAAATATATGAAAGAACTCCTACTTCTTTCAGAGTACCTCTGCATCGATTGTGTTGCCAAGTTTAAACGGTTGGATCATTTAAGAAGCGAAAGTGAGTTGTGATTGGTACGCTCAACTTCCCAGCGTAGGCACCTAATTGGATAAAAAGCCAGCCAAGGGAGGTAATAAAATCATCGCCCCAAGCCGTGGATGCATCCAGAGTATAGTGGAGAGTGATCGTAACGTATACCCTGGAGATTATCGAGGATTGAATTCGAGATAACATTTCAGCCTTACCAATGTTATCAGTACATCCCCAAAACCCGCGAACATCCAGGTTAGAAGTGGTCTTCAGTAACCCATGCTCGTCGGAAGAGGCAACGAACGAGATCGGGTGGTCAGGATCACTGACTTAGTTGACACATGTAATCGTATCCCCAACTGCGTAAATCGACGATAATACTCACTGGATTATGCGGTCCAGACTCGAATATTTACAGACCGTAGTCATATCGGTGGAATATCGCCGAGTGCGGCGTTAAACAACAATCAAACATCGCATCCCACACATGGAACAGGAGGCTGAATTGCTTTTATGTTCATAAAATAAAAGGTACTTATGAACATAAAATACAACATTTGGTACAACACATTTAACTCGATGAATTTCATTTTCCCGTCCTATCTGAACTCCTTTCGGTCTGTAGGTACTTATTTGTAATATATTGTGATATGTATTGCAAGAAGTTTGTTTTAACAAAAAACTACTTTGTGTTAAGGCTTGATTTATAAAGCAAAATCACTATGGTGATTAAGCTTTAATAAAAACTTTTAATTATGACAGATAAAATTTGTAAATAATATTTAGCACAAAATGAAAACAGGAAATATCCGAAGATTTCCGAGTGTTACGAAGTTTTCCGAATGCATGTCAAAATACCGGTTTTCGATCAGCGTATCGCAATACGTATCGTTTTCATGTCTGAACCGGTAAATACCGGTAAACCGGTTATATTGCGCAACCCTAATTTGTACCCATACGGAGAGCTGATACAAGATAGTGGCTTGTTCATGTCGTCTTCCCAGTCTACGAGAGATAACACTTGACAACAAGGACAAGGTCTGGTCGGCTCGGAGTCAGTATAATACCACCTGAGTGGGGTATTCATGCTTCACTGCGGCATGGTATCTCAGTGGGCTAGCACTATAAAACCAGCTTAAGTCTGGGCTAGTACAAGCAGCCACACATACACATACACACGCATGCACGTCGTCATATGAGCGAAATATTCTCAAGTACGACGTTAAACCCGATATCACCTCACCTCCTTTGGCTTCGATACATCCAACTATGTAAAACATAATTACTCAGATTATTGCACAAATAGTTTATTTTTTGTTCATGGAGTGTAACCGGAAACATAAATGCAGGAGTATGTAGATAAAATATACATTGAATAATCTACTCATTGAATAATACTCTAAATATAATATAATCAGAATGTGCTATGACGTCAACTATTATTATAGGATAGGATATTTTATATAGCGCACATATCCAGGCAACTAGTGCATGCTCAAGGCGCTGGCATTTTTCCCCTCGATCATTGGTTGACAATCTCAACGGCACATCTTAGTATCAATCTCAACTCCTGGGGAGTATGCAACTCTTGCAGCCACCAGGCGCACCGAGTTATTGTGGCTTTCTCATCCTAACGAGTATACCTCAGGAATAATCCTTGATCATTAAATCAAAAATCTATACGTTTTAAACAGCATCTGCAATCATATGGTATATTGAGGAAATATCTGTTAATCATTACACAAATGAATCAAACGAGTTGACAATTCTTTCACGTCTGCTAATTTGCCCTGAGTTGCTTCCCAATGATCATGAGAAGGGTACGAGTCGCTCTTCGGCATGGCCCGGAATAACACGAGATGGTCACAATGCTGCCTCCATGGAGGTTCACTTATCTCTCGACTGTAAACCTCACATCACGAAATCCCAGAGAAGTACCATGACGAGGACATCTTATAATACGTTGCCATTACGTCTTATTATTACGAAGTATGCACAGTCATGCATTGTACTTGAAATCCTGTGGAGAAGTATTCGAGGTGGTGAAATTTTGCAGTTTCACCGCATCGCTAAAAGAGCGCGCGCGCAGAATACAATGCTCCCCGCATGCACACACGCACACACGCACACACCCACGCACGCACGCACGCACACTCGAGCGCTGATACAGATCACAGCCTTGGAAGGAAGGACTTGTGTATCACGTGATTTCGATTCACTTCGCTCAGGGTAGTTACGCCTGAAAGGAGATAAATAAATATTTTAGGTGCCTTTAAAACATTGCATATTGTGTGTCTTTTTTGTTGGTTTGCATGAAGTTGCACACTGCCATATCTCAGCTATAAATATCTGGGTCCTGAACAAGACAATCCAGTGATTGACAGCATGAACATCAATACACGCAATTAGGATACGATGACATATCAGACTAGCCATATTGCCTGACAAACACGATAAATCAAATCGCTTCTTTCGAATCATATAGATTACTAGGGACCGACTCGATCCAGACGTCCAAAAGGATCCAGTGCACATGTAAAGTCCCGTGCAGCAGTTAATGTACACTTGAACAACTGCATGACTTGAAACACAAATATTAAATCATATCTATATTATTAAATTACGGACTTGACTTCAAATAGTGGGTAACAGGCTTATGCAATCTGAAAAGAGATCAGTCGACAACGTACCCAGGAGCGCCATGGCGTTGTCCACTTCATCCTTTACCAGCTGCAGGAGATTAACAACGCCCTCTGTACCCTGTAAGGGGAGATAACTTGTGTAACACAATGTCCTTGTATGGTGTTGAAACACAGCCTACTTATAACCAAGTTAACCGAAATATTCCAGCTATTTGTACTTTACATGTAAGTACAATTGCAGCAGAAAGATTCCATAGTTAATACCGATGTCTATGTCAGTAAATTATCAAAACCTAATTACGAGAACGTGGGTTAACGTACATGTCCCAACAGAGGCGCCTCTACAACAAACCACATCACTTTACCTTGTGCACCAGACCCCACAATGCTGGTCTGCCAATAAACACAGCCCTGGCGCCAATTGCCACCGCCTTGATGACGTCAAATCCGCTCCTGACGCCGCCGTCCAAGTACACTTCACAACGACCACCGACAGCGTCCACGACCTCCGCGAGAACGTCTAACTGTTGATGGGTAAATGATGCTTTACGCATTATTGGGATGAAGATACACACAAAGCACACTAGATGAAGATGAGAGGAGGTACAACTGGAGGAGTGAGTGAGTTTAGTTTTACGCCGCTTTTTGCAATATTCCAGCAATATCACGATTGGGGACACCAGAAATGGGTTTCACACATTGAACCCATGTGGGGAATCTCACCCGGGTCTTCCGCGTGACGAGCGAACGCTTTAACCACAAGGCTACCCCACCGCCCCTAAAACTGGAGGATATATATACATAATATACGCAAATAGCAATTTCAGTTCAAATTAGTGCTTATTTAGATGATTAGAGAAGGGCTCACGACTCGTTTGCCACATATGGGAAAGAAAAAACCGAAATATTAATTGTGGTCTTTTGGGTTGCTTAAAACTATGCAACCATACATTTCTCTTTATTCACTTTTTGCCAAATTCATTTGCATGATTCACCAACATAGAATGGAACGGTAAAATCTTCTTATACTGGAAAGAGATGTTCCGTTTCGCAGCGATGCATAAACGTTCAGTAGAGTGATGTTTGCACTGCGCTTGTCAAGCTTTACAAACTCCTCATTTGGACTGCATGACCGAAATTTTGCAGTTGAATTGAAAGAACAATCATCTATGTGCATCCTAATTACAGTAACACAGTACGAAAAAGAGTGTGCATGCAACATAACGGCATTATGGATCCTTTGTGGTAACTATATAATTATTCAAATGCATAGAAATTCAAACAATGGCGGAAATGGTCTACTGCTTAGTCGGAATAATTAATTATCAGTGTTGACATCATGAGTTGACAGAATAGGTAAAAGAAAATTAATATAATATATTATATTAATCAAATATATACAGAATATCAATTCTAACACTGCATGGGTCGTGGAAAGGTCAACAATTCTTCTAACACGCGTTCGTTTGAAGCATCATCCATCAATATGAGCCTCCACGCTGAACCGGAAATAGGTTCTATGATGAGAGTAGTCTCCCCTTCCACTCACCGAGGCCGGTACACCGTCTAACTGTCGCCCGCCGTGATTCGACACCCAGATAGCCGACACACCGTGAGATACCGCCTCCCTCGCGTCTTCAGCTGAAAGAGTCATCCCACAGATCGGATGTTAAAGCATCCATATCCTCTCGTTCCCGTTAATAAACTCCCCAGTGGTCTATCGATAGTCAAGGATATTTTTGAAGATGAGTGAGTAAGTGAGCTGGGTTTTACGCCGCTTTTAGCAATATACCAGCAATATCATGGCGGGGGGCACCAGAAATGGGCTTCACACAATGTACCCATGTGGGAAATCGAACCCGGGTCTTCGGCGTGACAAGCGAACGCTTTGACCACTAGACTACACTACCGCCCCTTTGAAAGACGAAGGCTGTAATCAGTATTATTTCGTTTTACAACAGATCTGTTTTCTTTCAAAACACTTTTGTGGTTTTAGAAACACTTCACAGTACATGTATACTGACCAGTATGAATACCCTTCACAATAAGGGGCAATCGAGTGAAGTTCTGCAGCCATCTCACGTCATCCCACGTCACCGACGGGTCCAGCTGCTTTGCAACAAATTCCATATAGGGCATATTGGCAACATCAGTTGTCAGAGATTTCGAAGCGTCGATGTTCGGTAACCTGAAAAAGCATACATCAGCCAGCCTTACCACCCTTGACTTCATAATAAGTCCAATTAACATGAAGAGTACGAAAAGGGATTAAACAACTGAATGTGAAAACAATTTTTTTAGTATAAATATTGAGTTGTCCATAGCATGAGGCAAAAGAAGTATATTCAGCTTACTCTCTGTGGGCGGTGGGATAGCCTAGTGGTTAAAACTTTCGCTCGTCACGCCGAAGATCTGGGTTCGATTCAGCACATGGGTACATTGTGTGAAGCCCATTTCTGGTGTCCCCCGCCGCAATATTGCTGGAATATTGCTAAAAGCGGCGTAATACCATACTTGCTAACTCACTTTACTCTCTGTAACAGTTTCTTTGCGACCGACCATCTGATATTCTGGGAGGGTGATGTGGTGATGGGTATTTGGGAGGTGAGGGAAGAGGACTGAGAAGGAATGGTTGAGCCTTACATAAAACGTTTGCCACATTGAAAAATGTTTCGGAAAATACATATCTTCGGCCATGGGGTTACAGGGGACATGGAAAAATTATAACCTGATATGACCCGGTACTGTGAATCCTTCTCTCGCTGTAGCTAGCCGTCTGCCGCCGACCGGCGCGTCTACCGTCAGAACAAGGGCAGAGAACCCAGCCGCCTCTGCTCTCTGCACCAGAGTTTCTGTCAGGCGACGCTCCTTGAATATGTACAGTTGGAACCACCTGACGCTGTTGGGAGCTCCGGTTCCAATTTCCTCGATCCCGACGGTTGAGAGGGTGGAGAGGCCAAAGGGGACCCTGTGTCGCTCACATGCTGAAACAGTGACTCGGTTATCAGTGTAAAGCTGGTAGAATAGAGTGAGTGAATTTTTAAAAAAGTACTTAGTTTAAATATTCCAGCTATATGACGTCGGTCTGTAAATAATCGAGTCTGGACCACCGCCATATAGCTGGAATATTACTGAGTGCGGCGTTACACAACAAACAAACAAACAAACAAACACATCCTCAGAAAAATGCATGCAGTTAAACACAATATTGATGGTGCCACGCCAACTTGCCATCATTCGTATAACACTGCAGTGGCTCCACCTACCTTTAGCTATTCCCATCTCCCCATCCAGATGGGCCATCCGGCACATGGACATTGGTGCCACGCCTACTGGACAGCTGACCGGGCTGCCCAGCACTGTAGTGGACATGTCCCTCTTGGATACATCCTTCAGCACGCGGGGACGAAACCGGTATCTGTACACACAACAGTAAAGTTATGATGATTTTATAACAAAAAAATAATAAGTCTATTTATATTGCGCGACACTCAGTGCATTATTACCCCGGATAACCCGAGCTGCCTGTGAGGCGCTAGACTAATGCTTAGTCTCTGAATATATATAATTTTGATAGTAACAAACAAGCCCATTTAAATTGAAAAGGAGCTCCAGGGAGACCAGAGATCCTGAACCTGAGGAAATCTAGACTTGCTTTATTTAGGGCTTTAGCACTGCAGAGAGAGCTTGGCAGTAGGGAAATTAATGTGGTTCAGGGACTGTGGGACAGACTAGTGAGGCGCTAGAAGGTTATTGTCACATGACTCATCCCACCGAGAACCCTTTTTCTGCTGGATGAACAGGCAATTTTGAACAAACTCACTTGCCTGAGGTGAGACAACATGTATCGTTGTGTGGGGCAGGACTAGAAACTCTCAGCAGTCAATCTGCCAAACATATATTGATAGATTTCAACTTTCGGTAAATATGTAATAAATTATTACTGCAATATCAAGCTATTTGCTTGATAACCGAATAAGGATCTCAACCGAAACGTTGCCATACAGAGATTAAAGAAGTAGCAATCCATACAATTGCTATTTCTAAAGACGCTTTTCAAACAACAAAGCGGCAAGATCAGTCACGTGGTGAACGTGTGCTCACTGGAGCGAATAACCCGAATAGCGCCCAATGAGCTCGGATATCATCGGCAATTGTTTACAACAACGCCATAAAAAACATCGCCGGGTCCCTTTAAGGTGGCTTGAGCACTTCCATGTTTCTCGTCACAAACCGAACCTGAAACTGTTCTTCGCCATGTTTGTATTCCTTTTAAATTTATTGAACCCGCCCCGACTGTGGATAGTAATGCAGGGCCACAATTAACATACCCTATACGTTACAGTATACATGGTGTACAGTTATGAATAAATTTCAGGTTGGAAGAGGATGTGGAATTGAAACAAAACCACACCTTACTGGGGAGTATAAACAGAATGTCGATTACCTTTTATAGAGAACATTTGTAACATTACATATATGTTTGTAAGTCTGTCTGGGACGAAGTGTTGCCTTCGACCGCTTTCAACACAGCGCCATCTTAGTTTAGGTGTTTGTGTGTGTGTATTTCATTAGCTTACGTAATAAATACCACATAATTTATCTTTTTCGATTAAAATATACTCATGCGAATAATGGTTGTCACCACCCTCCCCACCTCAACCCTACACCCACCTCACACACCCAACCCACACCCCCTCTCCAATTAAAAAAATTGAAGGGGGTGACAACCATTATTGGCATGAGTATATGTGGAATATTTGAGGTGTTAAATTTGAATGAAACATTTTAGCAATGTTTATTTCGTAATTGAATGATAAAAGACTTCGGATAGTTTGAGTTTCGTCTACAGATTTTATGGACGGTTCTCTCACAATGTGGACACTGTTACCGCTGAACGTTACAGCATCACACCGTCTGATAACAGGTGATCCCACCTTGGACCAGCGTCTCACCTTGAATAAGCTGACACATTGTCCTTGAGTGTTTGTTCCAGGTGACACCCAGAGTTGAAATACGCCTCCACGGGACCAAGCCTCCCCCTCGCGTACTCCTCGTAATCTAACACACTCAGCAAACGCGTCTCTTCCATTGCAACAGTGACATGCGCAGATGAGGAGAGCGACTGCGTGGTGGTAGAGCGCCTGTACCGTTCTGACTAAACAGAGAGAGAATTGCCGAGCGTTCAGTTTATGATCAAACAATTTAGAACAACCAAATATTTACTACACGATAGTATTGATTCGTATAAATTAACTGTTTATTAACATTTTTTTGCATCAAGAGACAATTGGAAGTTGTTTGTGGGACTCGCCGCATACATATGGCAACAGCTGTGTTAATCCAGGCATGCTGACTTGTACTGAAAATGCTTATCATGTTTTCAAGCATCAAGCAAGGCGCGCGTGTTTTTGGTGCTCACGTCCATTTTGAAAAAAACAAAACAACAGATAATAAGATTCAAATCTTAATTGCCCACATAATCAACTTAATTTGGGTTGTTGCTTTTGTGTGTGTGTGGCAATTTTACCAATAGTAATCGTATAGTTTAAATATATTTATGTCGCGGTTGGTATAGAGGATGAATACCATTTTCTTTTGGGTCGAAGATCACGTACACAATAAGAACACATTATATCAATGTCACAACAATTTCTATACATCATTTTGTTGCCCTAATGCATAGGCGGATCCAGAGGGTGTGTGTGTGCAGGGGTACGCACCCCCACCCCTTTTCTCCTGAAAGTTTATTATGAAGTGTGCGCCCCCCATTTCTCAAGAGTATGCACCCCCTCTCCCTTTCTAACAAGCTGTATCCGCCCCTGCAATGTCAACTGAGAATGAAAGCAACATTCAATGTTTCGATGTATACTACTCACACTTTGCTAAGGATCACAAAATCCCAACTTTACTCAAACATAGTTTTATAATTTGAAATTGTCTCCATTTAAAGCTAGATAAATAATGATATGGTAACCCCTCTTTAGGCAAACAGCCACTTTAATCTAACCTTATGCACTTGATACATGAGTAACCATAAAAATTGTTTTCATGGCACCAATCAACCATTTTGCAAATCATGGAACGAGTCATTGACGAATAAACAACACCTGTCACTAGCAGGTATGGGATCCACCAGATGCAGTGACATACTGAAACCTTGGATCCACGCTTACAATAAGCTTAGATATTTAAACCAAATCAGAACCCACATCATAGTTTTCTGTTTTATCAATGATTTGATCCTTAGCAAAGTGTGAATAGAATATTTACAGTATGCCATGAATTTGAGAAGTTCTATATGATTACCACACACATGATTCATTGTATCAATATATTACCACACACATGATTCATTGTATCAATATATTACCACACACATGATTCATTGTATCAATATATTACCACACACATGATTCATTGTATCCATATATTACCACACACATGATTCATTGTATCAATATATTACCACACACATGATTCATTGTATCAATATATTACCACACACATGATTCATTGTATCAATATATTACCACACACATGATTCATTGTATCAATATATTACCACACACATGATTCATTGTATCAATATATTACCACACACATGATTCATTGTATCAATATATTACCACACACATGATTCATTGTATCAATATATTACCACACACATGATTCATTGTATCAATATATTACCATACATGTGAATATATGTATTTTACGCATGTGATCTGTGCTGTTACATTCTCTATGCATTCTATGTGGTAATAGGCCGTTGCCCCAGATATTAACAGAAATCAAGAATGCTGGTATCAGATTACATTCGCTGCTACCAACAATAACATCAAACAGCACAGAATATAAGCTCCGGGACGCAGTAATGACCGTTTTATTGTAAATGTGGAATCGAATCAAAACCACACCTTGCTGGGGAGAATAGATGAGGTTCCGGGATAGGATAGAATGTCAATGACCTTCTGTAGAGAACTTTGTTACATTAGATATATACTTGTAGCTTGCTTTGAATGTTGTTTAACGCCGTGCTCAGCAATATTCCAGCTATATGGCGGCGGTCTGTAAATAATCGAGTCTGGACCAGACAATGTCGTGATCAACAGCATGAGCATCGTTCTACGCAATTTGGATACGATGACATGTGTCAACAAAGTCAGCGAGCCTGACCACCCGATCCCTTCAGTCGTCTCTTACCTCCCGCATGGGTTACTGTAGACCAAATCTAAACCGGATCTTCACGGGTCAGATATATGTTTGTAATTAAGTGTGCCTGAGAGGAAGTGTTGTGTGGCACAACGCCATCTTAGTTGTGTGTGTGTGTGTGTGTGTGTGTGTGTGTGTGTGTGTGTGTGTGTGTGTGTGTGTGTGTGTGTGTGTGTGTGTGTGTGTGTGTGTGTGTGTGTGTGTGTGTGTGTGTGTGTGTGTGTGTGTGTGTGTGTGTGTGATATTACCTTACTTAATACCACATATTTGTATTTCTAAAGGACTGAGCTATGAAATTGGAATGAAACATTAAAGTAATGTTGTATTTCGTAATTGAATGATAGACTGGGATAGTTTGGTTTCATCTATTGATTTTATGGTCATTTCTCCCTCGGCAGTTTTGTAGCTATGTAGCGGCGGTCTGTAAATAATAGAGATTGGACCAGGCAATCCAGTGATTGACATCATAAGTGTGTGAGTGAGTGAGTTGGGTTTTACGCCGCTTTTAGCAATATTCCAGCAATATCACGGCGGGGGACACCGGGAATGGACTTCACACATTGTACCCGTGTGGGGAATAGAAAACGGGTCTTTGGCTGAACGAGCAAACGCTTTAACCACTAGGCTACCCCACCTCCCCATTGACATCATAAATATTTGTCTGTTGGGATCCGATGACATGCATCAACCAAGTCAGGGTACGTGACCACCCGATCCCACAAACATGGGTTCCCCAAGACCAATTGTAACCCGGATCTTCACAGCTGCATACATGTATTGATAAACATTCATACATTCATGTGCTTTGGAAGCATGACAGTTACACCACGGCGAGCCAGCTTAATGTGGGGGGAATGTCCAAACTGATACAGGTCTGAGATGTTCACTACGCACCATTCCCACGATCCCGTGCTGACATACCTAGACACATAAACGGGGTGAGCTTTGAATCGAACCTACAATCACATATTTCTGACTTGCCCAAGGGACGCAACTCTGCACAGCGAATCCTGGCGCCTTCGACGACTGGGTCATCATTGCCCCATGTCATTTCCGGATTGATATTTTTATTGTTTGAATATGGCGCACAGAGAATCTCCTTTAAAGATCACTACTTTGGCACCTGCTTTGAGCGGCACTTGAAGCGAGGCGCCGCTGAGCACTTTCTTTTTATAGCCAGGTAAACTATCCTGGTAGCGAAACATGATTTGTCTTTGTTTGGGCTAAAAACACTGAGATAGTTGGATTGTTAAATCATTATATATATATCAATAATAGGTAAAAATACAGTGCTTGTCACAGTCGCCATTTTCCGTAGGTTCCGCGCATGTCCCTTTATTTACACAAATCCTCTAAAGGCTACGACAACCGATGAAATAGTCTAAAGATGGCGACCCGTGAAGATCCGGGGTAGAATAGGTCTCCAGCAACCCATGCTTGCCACAAAAGGCGACTATGCTTGTCGTAAGAGGCGACTAACGGGATCGGGTGGTCAGACTCGCTGACTTGGTTGAAACATGTCATCGGTTCCCATTTGCGCAGATCGATGCTCATGCTGCTGATCACTGGATTGTCTGATCCAGACTCGATTATTTACAGACCGCCGCGACCATATAGCTGGAATATTGCTGAGTGCGGCGTAAAACTAAACTCACTCACTCACTCACCCACTCTAAAGATGGCTGCTGTGTTAATCATATATATTCAATGTAAGACAAGTTTTATATAACTTGATTTTCAGCGGCAGCTAGGCATAACCAATAGCGGCGTTTATATAAGCCACAAGGCTTGTTCGCCTATCCAGGCTTCTACTTTGACGAAATAAAAATATGTTTAAACCATATTAAAATTAAAGTACCAGAGTTTCATTGAGCTGTCAATGGCGGACCCATCACAGTGTTTACAAAGTCCGTGTCGCTTGTGCTGCCCATAGTTCAAAATATTATACAGCACAATAACCTCTTAATTCAGTTACTATGTAGAGTATATGATATATCGTGTAACTCAGTATATGTGTATATTTGAACTCTGCCACAATAATGACTTATGTAATTAGCTGAATAAATATTGTATGAACCTGGTACAGCTATAAATGTTTATAGGTGTTGGTGGAACAGTCTACCTAATGGGGGGGAAGAGAGCTAGTAATTAAAAACCACTCGACTGGAACAGGTTGTGTATTGGACGGATAGTCATAATGGGAATGAACCATCGGAGGCAAGGGACGAGAGATAAGCGAGGTTTCGGAAGAGTTACTTCCCTTTGACTGCAGACGGAACCCCGATATATAGAGAATACTACACGAAGTCTCATTACATACGAATTATACAAAACGAGTGTCCTTCCTATGGTATCTGACCGAGCGAAAGCGAGTTCAGATACCATAGGAAGGTCGCGAGTTTCGTATAATTCGTATGTAATGAGACCGAGTGTGGTATTTTATTTATTACCCACGTCTTACATGCATTAAACTGACAAAATAGCGTATTTTTGTTATTTTTTGGTTTCAAACCGAAACCGGTTTCATAAAGACTGACTGACTGAGTTTGGTTTTACGCCGCTTTTAGCAATATTCCAGCAACATCACGGCGGGGGACACCAGAAATGGGCTTCACACATTGTACCCATGTGGGGATTCGAACCCGGGTCTTCGGCGTGACGAGCCAACGCTTTAACCATTAGGCTACCCCACCGCCCCTGGTTTCATAAAGAGGTTGCGGAAGAGTTTTGTACTGTAGTACAATATTTGCATGACGTCACACTGTAATGACGTCACTGCCTTGGTATCCGACGTCAGGATGCATGTCAGTTGTCATCGCCTCGTACAGCCTCCTACAGTAAACTACTACAGCACCCCGTTTCTTGTTTTGCAGTTGCTTCATTCGGCTAACATCACTGGTGAAAACATTG